AGGATTACCCCCCTTGTTTAGTTGCAACGCAGTTTCTCGACTCGACGCATGCTATCTAGCTTAAGTGTAGCTAGCTAGCCCGGGATCCCGGGACTCAGCGAGCTGGCAAGAGCAGCACGTAAAATAGCCCCCCCACCAATCAGCGGTATACCGCGCATGCGTATTTACGCTCGCGCTTTATTCCACAGGTTTTCATTTACTGTAGCCCCCCCCTGTTGGTAACGTGGTGTTATGTATATACCTATATATTTTTGTAAACCACTTCTCATGACCACAATAGCAAAAAGAACATTGCTATATACATCATACAATACTTGCTTACAAAGTACGAAATAAGAATAGAGCTTGATCGCCCCCTCGCATTCTTACCAACAACCATCCATCTTTTTGCTTGATTAATAATATATCAGAGGTGGCTGCCATGCAACAGGGCCCATAGCCCAACGCACCGCAGATCATGGCGGAACCATTAACCCAACGAACTACCACCATATGAAGTGAGGTGTCTATCTGCACCTCCCAGACCCTCACTCCTCCTTCCACCAAGAGCGACACCTCAAGCTCCCCACGCAATCGCGACTGGGTTTGTTTGTAAACTCCGGGGACTATCACCGTATAACCGAACCGTTCTTAGCTCCCAAACATCCAAAATAAAATCTTTAACACGGCCAGCAAAGAACGCAAATTTTTATCCATCCTAGCAACAATACTCAAATCCCTCTTTTCTTTTGTGCTAACCTGAGATGCAGCTCATGCCATACTTTTTGAATGACATGCAGCATTACTATTGTTAGCATATATACTCCACTCAAGCAAATTCTCACTTTTTCTAGCAATGCTTATCTAACAGGTTGGTAGGTCATGTTGCCCTTAGCTCTCATTGCTTGCGATGTTTAGTATAATGCGCCTCGTTCTAGAGTCACTCCAGCAGAATAATACTTATCATGTCCACTCTCAGCGATACTCATAGATAAGACGAGCATTGGTTGTCCTGCCCTTTCTCTTTCTTTCCACTGACTTACAAACGTATGACCCTCTTTTCCATGGGAGTCACCGACCTTTGATGATCTTTCCTCAAACTGTATAACTATCTATAGTCTGAGTGTCTTGCTGCAAATTGTCACATTTATAGAGTACACTTCAGAAGATTATTCCTGCACTCCTCTCAGGCAATCGTCAAGACTAAGAAGGGTGAATGGTCCATCCTGTTGTCCTACCTCCCAATGAAATATTGTCAGTCGTCCTTTCCTTCCTCCAACTTGCTTACCGAAAGTACGGACGTGTTATCATAGAGTAACTCCAGAAGATTTTTCACTGCACTCTCCAGCTATAGCCAAGATAAATAATAGCATTGGTCATCTTGTCCCTTCTCCCACTTATATACAAAAAGTACGACAATTCTAGCCCTCTTTTCATGGAGTCGCCTTTGAGGATCATTTTATTTATCCAGCTATATAATATAGTCAAGATATGAAGGATTTTTAGTCCTCCTTTCCTTCCTCCTCACAAAAAGTATGATCATTATAGGTACTTCTAAGCTCACTGCCATCACAGATCCCTTTCATTGTCCCATCCACTGCAGCCACAAACAGTTCAAATGTTTGGCGTTCTCTCACAATTCTGGGAGCATCGTGAGGATCGCTGAGACGTTGTGCTGGGACGGACGTTACCTGGAGGTCTTCTTTTGTGCAGCGTGTCTACGCATGCGCATATGGCTTTAGCGTGGCAATGTGAGACACACCCCCGCACTCAAGATCGCTCCGCCTTGGCCGTCTGTGACGACGACGCAGAACGAACCAAACAGCGCGATGCAAGTGTGGCAGGCTTCAACTGCGTTCGTACTCTTCTCCTGTATGACCACTAGTCTGGTCCTTGGTGAGTTCTCTGGTGCGCTTGTCATGATGTACTGTTGGCGCCTCGAAGCTAGCTGGCTATGTACATATATCACATACCTATCCTCATGAATACTATAGTTGCAGAAGACTGATGACAATGTGTTATATAAAGACTTGTTTCCAAAATTGCAGGCCAGGGTATCACGGTACGTCTGGTGAACAACGTGACCAACGAGACTAGTTGGCTAGGCAGTCAGTACGAGGGACGTGTGGAGATCTACAGGAATGGCACGTGGGGCACGGTCTGCAGTGTCGGCTGGGACTTGGAGGATGCCAACGTCGCCTGTGTCATGGCTGGATTTGAAACAGCCGTTCGACCTGTCACTGACGGTTTCTATGGACCAGGTCTGTATGTAGAGATGCACACACACACACATGCATTGTAGTTCAGTGTAGAGTTTAAAACTGGTATAGCCAGTGATCCGAGAACTTTTGGCTTGCAGTGGACCTAAAACTTAATTATTTGTATTCAACAAACACAAACTGCTGTCCCATTACACTCGTATACAACGTAAGTATGACATCCACATATTCCCAACATTGTGTACGGCTTGAAGTGGGAGTTATAATGTGAAATGGTGCCTCCCAGACATGAATTCCCTTGTCAAAAGAATGGTGAGGGGAGACTATGCAGCGGTGGGTATGATCAAAGTTCATCTTGCCCAGGGAGAGCACCCTGTGTATATAGTATGGTGCATAACAGGAAATATATAATTACTCTTTGACCTACTGAATAGTGCTGTATGGCTTGGTGCAATGGCCCACTATAATATTCTACTACGAAGTTCAAAACTTGCCATAACATGCAGCATTTTGTTACGCTGTCATCATGTGATATTAATGTGGATGGCACGATTAATGTTTGTGTGATGTTGCAGTTTAGTCGATAGTGCAGTTTTCGTTCTATTTTTGTTTCTGTCTTTTGTCACTTACTCTACTGTGGCAGTTGGACGTCTTTGACGACAACCTTTGTGTTGCAGATGTGATCATGTGTCTTTGTTCAACAGATTGTTATTCCCTACGGCGAAGCATACGTAGTAAAGCCAGCCACAGAGGCTTTCTGTGTTGAAATTTTTAAATCAAGTCCAGTCAAGTCTTCTTTACATACGCACAGAGAGCGGCCTGTCGTTGGTTCGAATCCCACCTAGGGCAGCTCTTCTTCTTTCCTCGGAAAAAGAGAGTTGTCCTGGGTGTAGTTAACTTGTTTGAATTTCCTTTGCCTTTCTACCTAACCTTGTCACATACATTATGCACTATAATACTGATTTCTGCGCTGATTTACTCCAACATCCCCACGGCCATTGCCAAGACCCAATGCCTGATGTTTAACATTCCGACTTTGCAGTAATCATGTCTTGACTAGCCACCGTTTGCCCACTAACTGTATATGGTAATATACCACACCAAAAAGTGCCAGATTTAATTTTAGGCTATTATCATTTCTGAGGTACTGTATATACATATTGTGCCCTGTTCTTAAACATTTGTAAGGCCATTCCTATCCTTCTCCCTCCTCTCTCCCTCTTCCTCAAGAAAGCAACAGTTCGTCCTACAGTCATCACAGATATTCATAGTGTTATTACAGAGTTGACTAGTGTAACAACTGTGCTACTAAAGTTTTCATAATTGCCATATTTCTGTGTGTAGGAGGAAGTGAGTTGCCGATAATCCTGGAGAATTCCCCGTGCACTGGGACCGAGACGAGTCTCGTCGACTGCCCCGGAATAACGTGGGACAAGCGTGGGGTCAGAGTGCACTCACGAGAGTGACGCCGGAGTCGTGTGCACAGATGGTGTGTTTAGTGGTTTAGTGCTTCAGGGATTACCTAAATTCCCATGATGTGTGTATATGATAACGAAAGACTTTTTAATAGGTGACCATACATAAGTATGAAGTAGAGTACATGTATGTACATCAACCACTGACATGCACATACGAACTTCCAAACCACGACTGACATATTATCAGATTATGTTGAAAAAGCCAATGGCACCATAATAGTTTCCTTGCACTAATGCAGTCGGCAATAATTGTCACGGTCTCGCCCCCCCCTACCAGCTGAGTTGCCCTGGTATGTAGCTCAGTTGGTAGAGCACTCGCCTGGAGTGCAGAGTGTCGTGGGTTCGAATCCCACCCAGGGCAACGCTTCTTTTTTTCCCTGGAAAAAACAGCTGTCCTGTGTAGTTGACTTGTTTGTTGTGCGTTTTCCTTTCTACCTAAATTCCCATGATGTGTGTTTTTAGTGTATATGATGATAACGAAAGACTTTTTAATAGGTGACCATACATAAGTATGAAGTAGAGTACATGTATGTACATCAACTACTGACATGCACATACAAACCACGACTGACATATTATCGTAGACATACAGATTATGGTGAAAATGCCCATGGCACAATTCTCGCACTAATGCAGTCGGCAGTAATACAGCCATCATTGTCACGGTCTTGCCGCTATATTACTGAGTGAGAGTATACTGTGCCATAGCACAGTGGTTTGAGGTTTGCCTTGTGTTGTGTTGTGTTGAAGATTTGAACCCCTATGCACCAGCTGAGTTGCTCTAGGCCTGCTCAAACACGTGTTTCTCTGTCTGCACCCAATCAATGTCCTGATAGGAGGGGGAGCAAGCTCAGTTGGTAGAGCACTCGCCTAGACTGCAGAGAGTCGTGGGTTCGAATCCCACCCTGGGCAGCTCGGCTTTCCTGGGTGTAGTTGACTTGTTAGTTGTGCCTTTGCCTTTCTACCTCGTATAGTTGACACATGGATACGTACATGCAGAGAATTGCCTGCACAAAATGTTACTAAGAGAATACGTGATTATACAGGTAACACTTTTTGTCTCTTTTCAAACACCACTGATTTCTACAGACTTTGCTGTTCGCCTGGTGGACGGCCCTAATCCCTACACTGGCAGAGTGGAGGTCTACCATTCTGACCAGTGGGGCACTATCTGTGATCATGGCTTTGACTATGTCGATGCAGACGTGATATGTCATGAACTTGGCTACCCTGGAGTTCACAGCTTTCAATGGTAAGGCATGAATTCTTGTACATTTTTACACACAGTCTTTTATATCATTCTGAGTCTCAAAGAATCCAATGCTTCAAGCTATACGAACACTTGTAACCAGAGCCTGCTCGCACTCACATCCAACATCATAATAATGCCCATATGCAGAGGCCCTAAATGGGTGGAGTCTAATTACACATTCGTGCAGTGATCTAGATAATGTCGATGTATATAGTGGCATGGTCGTGCCATCAGCTCAACTTCTGGCTGAATCGCTGCAAACATTACATCATCAACCTAATGCTAGTTTCTAGGAGCAGACCTGAATTAGCTTCAGTAGACTCAGTTGAGCTGCTCATAGAAACAGCAAGTGATGTTGAGTTTAGCTCAGTTAATGGTAGGGACCCTTGCTATCCGATGAAAATAATTTATATTCTTTTTTTTTTGGGTTGTATTTCCGCGTGGTAGGGCAAATGATGTAACTACAAGACGAATGTTTGATGCACGATAAAAAGACTTGGATAGTGGAACAATTCACGCTATTATAAATCCCGTGCGACATTGTATATAATGTATTATGCTTTTGTACGTGTAAATATGTGTATATACTGTGTCCTTGATTTATGTATTTTCGTTGGCCCGAATCAAAGAGGCGCCGTGCCAGTACTATATTTCATCTCATACAGAACAGTTTTTGAATGAACGGATACTATATTCGCGCCGGAACTGTAACTATTATCACACGAACTGTACTAATCTCTGGCGGACTGCATACGCTTTGCGGGAATGAGCCCTCGGCGGCCTTTTTCCTTAGAGACGGAGTTCGACTTAGACGGTGACACAAAACCGATGCTGGAAGGCGCCCGCTAGCTTCTCGTCCTCTTTCCATTCTGACACCGGTTTTCCTTCCTGGTCGCCGCCTTTTTGAATCGCCCCGCATAACATAATAACTTATCTACGGAAGTCATGTGTCTGTGCGCTTGCTAATGGTAGCGAGGGGCGTGGTCTCGATAGATCATACAGCAACTCGGACATGCGGCCTCGATGCTGTATGACTAGCTCGACCACGCCTCGTACCATTATTACGCGCACAGCACTGACCTTAACTATTACATACAGTACACGTATTACGTTTATTAACTACTGTGCAGTGTTGTATTCTGAACCATGATTTCGCATGAGTGGATGACCTCTGTGCTAACTCGGGGCAGGATACCCCGATCCTGGGGCTGTGGACGCAGTCTGGATGCACTCGTATGCAGTGTGCAATGGTTCCGAGGCGTCCTTGCTCAGTGTCCTGTTGAATGGCTGGGGTTCTTCCTGTCACCACCATGAGGATGTCGGTGTTACGTGCAAACCAGGTCTGTTATTCACCTCAGTGGGTACCACCCTTGTTCCTTATTAACCCTCGGCGCGCATGCGCAGCGAGGGTTACGTACTTGTGTTTGTCCGTCGTCACGTCCCAGTCTGTCTGTCTGTCTGTCCGTCTGTTACCCACGTTTTTCTGCCACCACGCGCAACAACAGGTAAAATAGCGACACCAACGGTTCGCGCTACACAGGCTTGATTTAAAAATGGCGATTTTCGTAAAGTACTGCGTTTCAGAAGTATGGCTGGAAAAGGATGTGAACAAGCCACTATGCTAATTAGCATATTTACCTCGACCTGATCCACTTGCTCTGTGTAACCTCGGAGGCACAGAAGCCACACGAAGGGCGTGTATCGACTCCCGCATGCTATCTACTACTGTAGCTATCCGTGTCACACTCTCCGCGAGCTACTAGCGGGAGATCACGAGTAGATAGGCCCAGCCCATTATTAGCGGTAGCCGCGCATGCCCTGTCGTCGCCGGTTTGCACTTCAGTGCTTTTTCATTCACTCAGTGGGTACCACGCTCACACGCTATTGCACTGCGATAGAATGTATGAAATCTAACAGCTCAGGCATCAAGAGAAAAATGGCTGCTTGGCTTCTTTATAGAAACGTATACATTCTGTCTTTACCACAACTATACAAGATAATATTGTGGTTCCTATGTAGTTGTGCGTTGGCCGCTCTGCAGTCCTAGTGTCGGGGCGAGCTGACGCATGATGTAAATACACGGTAGCACAACACAAAAATAAGTACATTGCTACCGTAATCATACTCTCGGCGCCGAGAGATCAAACCTTAGGATAGTTTGGTAGTGTATACAGCCTTCTGTCTTTTTGATTGCTTTTTTGTGTCGTGTAATTATCACATGTTCCAATTACTTGATAAGGTAGAAGGCAGCACACCAAATATCACTACACACAGGACAGCTCTTTTTTCCAAGGAGAAAGAAGAGCTGCCCTAGGTGGGATTCGAACCCACGACGCTCTGCAGAGTAGGCCTGTAAAAGTTATGCACACACAGCTTTCTCTGGAGGTATGTAATACCACTCAAGACTTGATGGTGATTTATAATGAGCTAGACCCCCTCAGTAATTATACACAAATAAGTGTACATTACGTGCACATGTGCAATTGGAGTGGAGCGTGTGTAATGAGTATGTGTATGAC